GACAATCCCAGGCTCCTTCGACCATCTGGTTAATTTCTGATCGCGTCCGACATCGAGCGTCTGGAGGCTTTCTGTACGCGCTGCCAATGGCGGCATCCTTGGCAGATCAGGTGGTCTGGCTTCAAAAGAAACGTCACCGCACCGGTCTCGCCAACACGGAGGGGAGGTTTCATGCGACACTGTCGTCAGGGCCTGTGTTCAGGTGCGTGTAGCAGCTCGTCTTCAACAACCGGACGTTCCGGCTTGGCTTGCCCGGGAGGTCGAGTGTCCGTGGGGCCCCACCGCGCAACGGGACGCCCAAGATCGACCCGGCGCCGCTCTCGGGATCGTCGTCGTCGCGCTCGGTGATGGAATGCGGGCACGAAGCCGATATCCAGGAGGCCTGGCTTGGCGGCGACAGATCGCGATGACACCCAGAGGAACATTCAATGCTACGAAGATGCCTACCCCCCCTCCCCCCCCCCCCCGAGGGATTTTGCTGGCAGTGTGGTGCATGGCCACGCATGGAACACGGCCTCACAACCGTCGCCCAATAACGCTGTCCGCTGGACAGGTTGGTCCCTTCACCTGATGAAGGCCGCTTGTGTTGTGGCCGAAACGTCGTGATTTTTGTTGTTTAAATTTTTTACCTACGTGACTTTACCGAATAGAACCAAAGAGTATGGATCCTTGCAGTCACGGAAGCTTCAAATCTAGAAACGACGACATCTTGTGATGCGTACGGCAAGTTAACGTCCGTTTCTGGGATGGCAGGCCAGCATCAGTGGCCCACGTGGTGAAGTATGGTCATGACAAACATGGCACGGGAGAGGCCTTCATCCAGCAGTGGATTGACGAAGGGATGTAGGCTAAAGCGAGTGTAGCAACGCAAGATAATTTAACACAAAAAAATTGTGGTTTTCTGCTCAAACGAGTGTAGGGAGGTATCCCGTCTCCTGTCTGCAGCCTCCACATTGCTATGACGGCAGCAAGTCCATCCACAGGACAACCATAGCCGGCTTCTCACAAAGGGCGGGTCGATCTTCGCATTGTCTCGAGAGCGTGGGATGACGACTGGCCGAGTCGAAACCCCGACCGGGATTCGAACGCGCAGCCCTCCTGATCGCGGGCTGCGCAAACTCTAACCGCTGTCCGCAGCCTGGGCCGGATGAGAGTTTTGCCCGACGCTGAAAAGAAAGCTCCCGTGACCGAGTCGCCCTTATTAGGGGGTAACACCGATAAAAAAAACAACCTGACCCTCCCTTCACGGTTCGTGATGAATGAAAGGGTTAAGTGTATTTTCTTGCTGCTAGCCGAGGGGTAGGGGGGGGGGGCTAAATCCAAATCCACATACTTAAGCGGAGGAATATCCATGCCCACGTTCCACGGATAAAACTGTTATTGCCTTGCTCTATTCTGCATACGACTGACAAAAATGGACCAGATTAAAAGATTGCATCGGCGATATCCTCGGTAGGACAGGCCATCCAAATGGCCCATTATAAAACTCCGCGCGCCCAACGCAGCCCCAAGCTGTCACCTCTCTAAAGCCTCTTTGCGTTTAATGCCTAAAACAAACTCGACTTTCTTTTCTCCCCTCCTCCTCTTTGTGTCATCACAGCGAACATAACTGGATACAGCGAGTCATATGTGACCGAGCAGCTGCTACAGCGGGGGTTGACGGTTAGCGCACCGGGCTTTCGACTTTCGAGCCGGCTCGATCCCATCTCATCCGAGTGGCAGTTTGAGATGGCAACACGAGTTTCCCCGAATCCGCCAACTGCCCCGCCTCTGTCCACCCGGCAGTAGAAATGGGTTCACACCACAGTAGTACGGTAAAGCGTGGGTATACTCCCGCCTCTCCCAACACTTGGGCTCAGCGCGGAAGAGTAGGCCAAACACACCGAAGAGCTTCCTTCCAGCGGATGTGGCGCGAGCGGAGCGATTGCGGGGTGGCTGCGCCTTTATCTCTTCAAGTGGATGACGAGGGACCTTGCCGTGGAGCTATCGCACGTGAGCAGCAACGTTTTTAATTCGTGGCAGAGAGGGGGGGACTCGGGCTCGCCCCTCTGAACCACCCTGTAAGCAGCTGGATTAGATTTCCATGTAAATGAGCAGGGCAGAGTAATCGGAGAGAGGGCCACCGCATCGTCACAGGTGGGGCGCCAACACCCCCCATTTCCCCCACGCGCCACCCCCCTCAACACAACCCCCCCGATGGCACCGCCCCCACCCCCCCGCGACACGGCAATTTGTCCCTTCGCTGCAACCGCACTCGGACGGAACTCGCCAAGGTTGGAGGAGACCTTTGCGATAAACGTCTACAAAGGTTACACATCAATTCGAGACAGCCCCCCCACCTCCGACACGGCGCCCCCCCCCCCCCCCCCCCCCCCAATTTACCACCACCGACCGGTGAAATCCGCCGCTGCTGAGATGCACGCCGGCGACCGGGGCCCCTGCGTATGAATTCACCGGCGTGAGTGGGGCTGCTCCTGATCGACTCGCGCGCCTCTGGCTTTATGAATCGTGACGACAAAGCGCGTAATTTTCACCGCGAAAAACACCGAGCGTAATTGCGGCACCTCACCCCCCCTTCCAGGCAGCAGGGCCCCATAAATCACGGGCGTCACAGCGCGTTGCACCGGGGCGCGGGCACGCACGCGAGAGAGACGCGCGATGGCCGACCCGCCACTCGCTAGCGGTGCCGCATCTCCGCGGGTAACCAAGCGGCCCGCAGCGTGAATCCCGTCTAAAGCCAAGCTCAGCCGAGAGCTTTAGCGACGGGACGGGGGGGTCACGAGGTCACCGCGGGGCAACCTCCATCGCTACAGCTCCCCGGGCGCGTTGTCGAGGGCCGTACCGCATTGTGGTTCGCCGCGACGTCCGACGTTTTGCCCCACGTGCCTTTACCTCTTCAGGTGGCTGACGAGAGCCCCACGTGCTGGGAGCTTCTGGAGAAACTCAATTGGGCAGCTCGCAGTCTCCCAATGCAGCTGCTGTCGGCGTTTCACGCTCTGGGTGCTGATCGCGGCTCTGCCCTTTTGACGTCGGAAGAAAGCTCTCCCCGCACCAGCGAGTTTGAGCATTTTCGCGATCCACCAACCCTGACGCCTTCAAAACTCCAATCTCCACCGCCGCTCTGTGCAGGCCTTCGCGCACGACTTGAGCCGGAACGCAGATGTGGACGTGTGGGCGCTAATAATATGAACTATAAACTATTTTGTATTTTACCAGGTAAGTCCCACTGGGCTATATAGGCCTTTTCAGAAGCGACCTGGCGACAAATGATAGCGCAACGAAGTGGCTTATCGCCATGAGGAAATGTATAGCAGCCAAATACTCTAAACGCACATTTATTCTAAATGTGGAGGCAAAAACTGGGCCCGGATAAAAATCCATGGGGAGAGACACATACAAACACCAAATATACAGCAGGCGTCACGGGCGGGACCGAACTCACGACTCCCTGCATACCAAGCGAGGGAGTTAGCATCTTGCCACCGCGGCACCCTATCACAACAGCGACTACGTTCACTCAGACTCAACCCTCCCCCGACTCCCCCCCCACCCCCCTCAGCTCCCGCCCTTCATACGCGGACAGCTCCGCAAGTCCACGAGAAACACGCGGGGGAGCGAGTGATTGGTGCGACCGCCCTGCGTGATTCACGCGCGCCCCGGCTCCGCACGTCACAACGCATCGCCGTGTGCTATTTCACGAGGCCGGGTGGCCGGCCGACTGGCCGGCCGGCCCGGGGTGAGCACCACTCGCAGACGCCGCCAACAAATTTCACCGCATAGAATAACCGGGGCCAAAGGGTGGAAAACGAGCAATGGTTTTCAAATGTTTTTTCCTCTCTCCCACAGTGTAGGCTCACGTGAGAGGCATGCGGAATATCCACAACTCACCCGACGTGTGTTCTTTGGATCGTGCCGTGCGATGTCCGACGTTACGTCCCACGTGCCGGGGGAGCTTTTTCGCCAACAAAATTCGCTTAGTCGCGAACGTCTTAAAGACGTTCTGGCGTCCCCCACATGCCCCGGGAGCTTCTTGGGTTCTTGAAGAAGCTCCCAGAGCACACGGGTGCAAAACGTCGGGCATCGTGCTGAACAACACGCGGCACAAGCTGAGAAAACTGGAGAGGGCTGCGGCAGTTCTGCGGCTGAAAACCCACACGATGGTGTGTGTGTGTGTCTGGAATAGTCACTTAATTGGTCACATCAGGAATTCAAATGGCTGTTACATGAATTGGTAATGCCAGGGATCAGCAAGTCTAACTTTTTGATCACGCGTAAGTGAGTTACACAAATTGGCCATTCAATTTTTGATAAAGGGAAAGGTAATAAAAAAAAAAGCGTGGAAAAGTGCCCCATAAATCTGGGCCCCCCTCTCTCAGACTGGAAAGCCACAATGGCTGAAATCATCCACCCTTCCCGCCGACAAGAATGCAAATCACCGCACCAAGGCATAATTCGTCAATTTTTTTATGATAAACGGTGAAATTAACTTCCAAAATGGTGAATTGTGGTTTCAAATGTGAGTAGACCGCCCACAGTTTTGCACGAAAAACCCCGGCGGGGCTGTGATCCCTCTCCCCCCCAACCAGACTCCCACCCATCTAGAAATTAACAACTTCACACACCGCTCAATAACTCTGTGGCTTTAAAAGGAAACGTTCTAACAGGCGACGTTTTGGGCAATGTGCCATGAAGAAGTGAAGAAGGTCCATTACCCGAAACATCGCCTCTTTAATCTTTTTCCTGTTAAGGTCACACACACATACACAGGTGGTGTTGTTGACACACAGAACGTGTCGAGCGGTTGCCTTGACTGTGCTTGTCCACCGCTGCCAACGCAGCTGCAGCAGCAGCATCCCCAGAGCAACGCCTCTGGAGAATTGTCACTTTTTTCGAATAAGACTCAGAATTTGTATCCATGCCAGAGGAATCCGATGAGCTACAAAGCTCTTTTTCAGAGATGCCCCCCCCCCCCCACCCGCCCGCGCGACCACGGAACTTACTTGTAGATCTCGTTGTTCAGGATGGGGTACTGGCCAGTGACAACGTTGTTCACATACGAGGTGAACCAGTCGGTGAACGAAGATCCTGAGGCAGACACGAGCGAGAGAGAGAGAGACAGGCGTGGGAGATTGTCCCCCATCTCCGTCTAGCGTGGGTGTCTGCTCAAATGACCACAGTGGGGCATCGCCGCTCGTCTCATCCTCACATTCCTGAGCCAGTGATGTAAATTCCACATTCCTATGACACGGGTCGAGGCTATCTATAGGACAAACACTTCCTACAAAGTCGCACTCGTATCGACTTCGGAGGGATGATAGGCCGAGTAAACCCCTCTCCCCCAACCAGGATTTGAACTTGTGACCTTCCGATTGCGAGTAGCTCGCTCTGCCGCTGACGGGATACACAATCTACTTGTAAAGCCCCTTGTCAATCCACTGCTGGATAAGGGCCTGCCGATGCTGTACGGGCGGTGGGAGTTGTTTGACCATACTTCACCGCACTCGTCAGCGCGGGTTGTTGACGGTGGGGAATACTGACGTGGGTGCATAGAGGTGCAGTACAGCAGCAGATTTTGCTGCGTTGCCCTCTGCTGCCCACCGCGTATTCCCGAAGCAGCAGCAGCAGCCTATAGCAACCTGTTATACATGGCGGCAATTGCCCGTTCAAGTGCTATCCAGGCTTCTAACCTGCTTAGCTTACAAGATCTAATGAAATCAGGAGGGCTACGGGTGACTGGGTCAGAGGGATTGAGGCCCGTGGGAGGAATGTAATAATAAAAAAGTCTTAATTTTAAAAATGTACTTTTTTATTTAATTAAGCATTCAATTGATGTAAAACAAAGTTAAACTCCCAGTAATCATTCTGAAAAGAAGTGACCAAAAACACGTCACCATCATATTACGCGAGTGCTGCTTTAGAGAAGAGGAGGGATCTCGGCAGTACTTCTGTGATATCCCCTTCCATGCTATCCATCGTCTTAACGCAGGGCAGCGCTGCACTGCTTCACCGCGACAAATCTAAAACAGATCGCAACGCAGCGTCGACAGCTCAATCGGAATAAACTCACGTGAATATATATTTTTAACATAAAATAAAAAATAAATACCCCGACAGCTCTGCTGCCGTGCATTTCCAACGGAGGCTAGAGATGAACCCAGGGCTTCCCTTAATTCATGGCAGAAACCCTAAGCACCGGTCCCCGGGGTCAGTCTCCCTCGGCGAGCGCAGTCCGATCATTGTCTCGCAAGACGAATCACTTTCCATAAGTAGCTCGTTAGGGCCCGCGCCTGCACCACCGACACCCGACGCGGATTAGAATTTATACCGATAATAAGAAAAGTTTGCTTAAACAAATCGTATCCGCGTCGTGACCAAGCTATCGGCTTACCCGTGCCGCTAATTCCTGCGGCGGAATTACGGCGGGGAACCGCTAAGGATGGATCGGAGTTTTCGAAACAGGTTAGGTTTTACGTCCGTTATAAATATCTATTACCCGCGTATCTACTCCCCGTGCCCGCACTTTTTCCGCAAAGCGAACAACTTGGCACCGCACGCCGCCCACTCCGAGTGGCGTGCTCCGTCGGAGGCTTCCCGGTTTGCGGTGTTATTTATGTGCGGCATTAAACCTCCTCCTGAACTTCCGTGTAATGGAGGAATGGGTGCCATAAAAACTGATAAATTATAAATGCTTCGGTTTTTTAAACTTTAATGCAAAGCTGAAAACGCGCAGCGGGCGGGCGGGCCGGGCGTGCTTTCTCTACACCCGTTGCAAGCCCGCACCGCGGCAACCACCCCGCGGTCACGTTCACGTCGGCCAGCCAGAAACGATGACGAAGAGCGCGGCCAGAAGCCGCTGCGGTCTTCGACGCAATCTGGGGATTTCGGCCCTAATAGACGGCAAAAGTGTGGCCTCCACGTAACGGATTGGTGGACACGGCCTGACGTCCTGCCAGGGCCCCCGAGACGAAGCCGCGAGAGGGCCCCCGGCGCGGCGAGCAACATTCGAATCGTTGGGCTTTCTCAATGGAGGCAGCGATGAAGGTTAACATCATTAACCGGCGATAAAAAAAGCAAACGGCACAGCTCTCTCGGGAGGCAGACGCTAACACAATATTGTTCCCATAACAACGGCGACGTTACTGCGTACCCCCCCCCCCCTCCCCAATTCTTCCTGGCACACGTACAATAATTGGCGATGCCCTTTACGCTAAATCTCCCCTCCCCAGCCCCCCTCCTTAAGAGCACAATAAATGAGGAATGTGCCTGCCGCGCAGATTCTCACCTGCGAGGGAGAGAAGAGAGAGACAGGAAGATAGAAGGGATAAAATAAAAATAAAAGAAACCAGGAAGCTTCAGTTCCCAGTGGGGGGAAAAGGCAAGACAGATGTTGCTTTCTCACCCAACACCCCCCAAACAACACAGCACAGAAGCCCCAACCCATCTTACCCATCAAGAAGAGATCAAAGACTCCATAGTCCGTCTGATCCTGCAGGGGAAAGGGGGGCGGGGGGGTGGGGAGAACGACACAGGAAGAGGCTTTAATTATTACGCACGCTTGCGGAGAGCAATAACGGATGGGCGGCGCGCGCTAAAAACCTCGCGCGACGCGGCGGCTTCGGGGGCCCGACGGCGCCGGAACGACGAAGCCGCAGCACCGTGAAGGAGCGTTGGGGAAAGTTGGGGGGTGGGTTGGAGGGGGACGACTCCAGGAGACGGGGGGGGGCGGCTAACGGCGTCTTCCTCCCGGCGGGGCCGTGCGTCAACCGACGAGGCTGATGCACACGCCACGCGCATGCACGCAGAGGCGCGGACAGGAAGAGCGACGCGCAAAAGACGGCGCACAACAACAACGGCAGACGCAGCGACAACAACAACGGAATGTGAAATAAAAAAAAAACCCAAAAAATCCCTGGGTTCCAAATCATCGGCATGTGAAATATATCGGATATGAAATATTTATTGAGAATTTGAATATCAAATAAGGCAAGTGTATATTTTGTTTTGAAGATTTCGTATACTGAGCTTCTCTGTTAATTTGCTCCCTAGTGTTTGAGTGAAGGCTCCCAAAGGGGCACAAAATGGTTCATTCCACTTTAATTTATCTCCCGAAATCATATCAATTATCCTCAGCGGGATCCGTATCGCAGTCACATCACATCACTTTCAGACGTCCAATATATACGGCATTCCACATCAGTGATTTTTTTTTGCAGGCTTAGAGCTTAACATTAATTCAAGCTCTCTCTCTTTCTCCCAGACTCAACAGAAGCCACAGTCATTTTGCCCCGGTCTCGGGTGAAATCAGAAAATCCTACAGTGAATATCTTTAACCGTGGCGAATGCAATGAAGCAGCCTAATCAACTCTTAAACTTAAGCATTTTTAGAATGAAAGTGTGGAATTTTAAATTCGGCTCCGTGACAGGCCCGCAGCATTAACGCACTGCAGATAATCCCGACTCCCGTACACAAGAAGAAATCATTAAAGGGACGCCGTAATTGCCAGCGTGCTTTTCAATATCACCCAGCCCAGCAAGCGGTCTCATCGTTCAGAATCGTACGAAGATAGCGCACAACTCTACGGGACCCCTCCGTCGTGTGACAGCGAACCGTCATAGGGAAAAAAAATACGCGAGCGACGCCGCCATCGCGTGCCCGGCCGGTGCGCACGAAGCGCCGGGGTTCAATCCCTGCTCGCGATCGCTCTGCGACGCAAGCCGAACAAGACCGCCCGCTTTGGAAATTATTCACGGGCGCGGCGCCGTTCCGTCGATGCCACCCCGTTGGAATTTGCAAACAGTGGAAACGGACAATAAAGTATATATAGAAAAATCACCCGCTGGCATTGCGCACGTTCTGAGGATTGCGTGCATTGAGGCACCACGACCACGAGGATTATTGACGATAACCAGCCTCGATAAATATCTGTCCGTAGGAAGAAGCTAAACGTGTACGATTTCGTACACCATCCGGGGCACAGGTTGACAGCGTTAACGCATTAGCTCTGCCAGTCTGTCTGTCTGTAATGGGGGCAGAGGGGGCAGGAGGAAGAAGGGGTACGATCATCCAACTACGTATTCTTGGTTCTTTCGGTGACTTTACCGAAAGAACCAAGAATATGAATCACTGCAGTCACGAAAGCTTTAAATCAAAACATCCAACTACATTTTAGCGGCGAGTGCTGCTAAAATGTAGCAGCACTCGCTGGGGAGAGGGGGGGGGGGACTTAACGAAGAGCTGAACAGCTACCATAAACTAACAGGGTTGCCCACCAAGAATATGGCGATAAAAAACTGCACTAAAAGATTATTTGTCTTGTCCGCAAGAGCGATGACGAAGACGACAACCATCGCACATGGCGCGTGACCTCACTTCCTCCAGCGGCTTGAAACCTTACAGATTATCATCGCTAATTAAATACTGCGCTAATTAAATATGGGGGGGGGAGCAGTGTGGGCGGGAGAAATGTCATTTTTGGAAAGGGGTTACAGAAGCCGTTGCATATGCGTGACTATTTCTTTCTTGTTTAATGTAACCCAACCGTAAAAGAGATAACTGCTGCCGCTCAGTCGCCAGGCTGTTGAGGATAATTACCCGACATGTAAAACCGTCTCCGACGATATAATCTACTCGGCTACAGGCAATTTTCGAAACTCCCTAAAATAACCCCGTAATGTTACGGGACAACTGTATATTGCCAGCTTTCAGCAGTGATTAAATGTTTCCGGACAAAAGCCAGCACACGTTCAGCGACGTGGCAGCGATTCATTGCGGGAATCATCAGAATTTCCTGCCGTAAAGAGATAACAGCGCCGCGGCGTAATTAAAAAGGTGCCGCCCGGAGGGAAAAAAAAATACAAACGGCAATCCGGGTGAGCGTTTTGGCGGTTGGGCTTAACCGTGACGATTTGGTGTCGGCGTTATTAATAGGGACGGGTCGTCCGCTCGATCATTTTCATCACCGTCCCCCGGCGCACGGCCAATTGCATCGCGTCGTGCCCAGCTAAGCCACAACTGGCGGTGGCAGCCAACGCCGAGCCGCTGTGTTTTTTTTTAGCTCGACGCTCGGTGAGTTATAGGTGAATGAGTTAACGGGGCACTGGTTCAGTCTAATACTCCGACGCGTCACGCTAAATTTGGCGCGAGATAAACGGCAGATTTGGAATGCGCTGGCTGCTGTTAGGGGAAGCAAGAAAAGAGAGATGGTGGTGGTGGTGGGGGCGTGGTGGGGGGGAAATGGTGGGGGGGGGGGGTGGTGGGGGGGGGGGCCTTGGCAGGGGGTGGGGGGGGGAGGGAGATTATGGATGGGTATAATCAAACACGAGTGATGGAGAAGTTTGTATTTTCTCTAAATCCACACAAGCAGCGCACAACATGTGCAGCCATGAATTACGTAGGGCAAATAAAACCATCACGAACACGCCATCGTCGGGAAACACTGGAGCCACTCCAAATGTCATCGTAAATGGCTTACCAATTCAATGGTGGCTTCACTCTTGTCTGGGCCACGAGGATTATGTCTGTAAATGCAGAGTACTTAACAAAAATTAATCCGTGCGTGCACGCTGCGCTCTGCAAGTGCGCAGCGTGCACGTGTGTTTGTGAATATATCATGGCAACCGGTGGGCTGGGGCAGCGGCGAATGCACCGCAGTACGACGCCAGTGACCTGGTAATGGACATAGGCAGTGAGCGGAATCTCAACAGCTCGTCGGCCTCCCCTAGGCCATACTCCGCCTGAAATGATTGTGTGGTGCGGTATATAAAACATTAAGCACCGGTGCAGACAGAGGCAGCTGTCCATGGTGCTGACCACACCGCTCCCCTGCCACCCCCCACTGCGGTATGCCGGACGTTAATAGGCGCTCACTAACAGCGCTTGCTCCACCAGTCTGTAAGAATACTCTTAGGGGTGTGGGGGCGGGGAAGGGGGGCCAGGGGTGAAATATTTGTCTTTGCTTACAGGCGCCGCGTTTTCTTCTCCCAGCGCAAGCGAATAAATCACTCCAATTAAATTTTCATCGACTTGGTTAACTTTTATTTAAGCCATTACTTTCCGTTATTAACTGCCATCTGTATTTACAAATTACGCGGCGGAATCCGTGAGAAAAATTAATTATGGACGAGTCGAAGCAACGGCCGTTGGCGGTGCGGCGTTTGGGAGCGACGGCTGGGCGGCCCACACGGCAATTGGAACGACGCTGCGGGGGTGAAGCGGGATCAGCCAGCACCTGTCAAGAAGGTCTCCTCATCTCCACCTCCACCACCATCATCCTCACCAAAGCCTTACAGGTAAAGCAATTAAGACTTACTCCTGTTGTTAATAGGTTAAGGCAAAACGTTATTTTGTCCACGGAGCAGTTGCGTAAGTGGTTTCCGTGCCATCGCGCCTATTCTGTAAAAGAAAACGCCTTATTACGGATGACCTCTTGCGGGGACTTGTGTTATAATGGCATTATGATATTTCCCGCAAGCTGTCAATCAGTGGGAGGCCCAATGGACTCAATTACTTTGACGCGTCACTTGGTGATACAGGGGCAAAGTTCCATAATATTCCTCAACAAAAACTGGGAGAGCACATGCCTCAATTTTATTAAAATGTCTCCTCAATTGAAATCTCTCGAACATTTTACAAAGGTTAACCCCTTTTCAGCTGCTTAACTTTACTTCTGGAAAAGTGCCGCAATTTTAAACTTTTCAATCAATATGCAGCATCCTTTTAAAATGGCAAACACAATTTTACCGCGATATCGATCAGAAGATTTATCCTCTTTTTATTTTCGATCTGTCCATATTTTTTTTAAAGGAAACTGAAATATCAAGATGTGCTGCTATTTGAAAAAAAAAAAGCATTGACGATCCTAAAAAAAGCAACAACGCCTCAATGTGCCAGCAGCGGCAAGCCACGGCCTACAAGGCAGTAATTGGGCACGGCAATGTACGGCCGGGTTTCCAGCAATCATTCAAGCCTGCCTCCGCAAAAGGCTATGGGTTCAAATGTGCCAGTCATTTCCATCTCCCTCCACCCCACCACCCCCAACCACCCTCCCTGCTGCTTCACCCCCCACCCCACCCCCCAGCTCCCCCCCTGTGTAATCCCATGTTAGATTTTCATTAGAGCGGCTGTGGAGGAGCAGACAGTGTCGACTGTCAGACGATTAGAAATTAGCTCAACCCTTGGCGGATTTGGGCGCTGGTAATTAACCTGAGAGTCTGCGACACGGCTTTCACTTCCTCCGGCAGGCGACACCACCACCACCACCCGCCAATCCTCTCTCCCGCTCTCCCGCCCGCCGGTTTGGCCGTGCTTGTCGAAAACGAAGCGAGGCCTCACCTTTTTTTTTTGCTCAATAATTTTCATTAGGCCGCAAGGTGTGCGCGCCGCTCCGGTAATTAGCTGCAGGTAATACAAGAGGTTCGGTTTAAAATCAAGTCGATCGAAGGAGCACTCTATCTAATGGGGAGTGCGCATTCACGTCCCAAAGTGTT